CTGAATAAACTGCTTGACATCGATGCTCTCTTCAGCTTCTGGCAAGGTTAATCCCACGGTGCGTTTGGGACACTTCGAAACAGATAAAATATCCATTATTTGGTCTTTTCGTCTTCATTTAGCAAACATTATTTATCCAAAAGCTGTGGATATCTGAAGTTGGATGGGATGAATTTCTGGATGAAAAAGTTGCTTGTGAATGGATAAATTTGAATGCAAAATTAAAAGCAATAGAGAACGTTAGGATTCCACGACGAACTAGGAGGATCGGAAAATGAACCTATAGAAATACATGGGTTTGCAGACGCGTCGTTTGCCTCATAAGTATATGGGAATACATCAAGTGGGATTACCATAGTAGCACAAAAAAGCAAAACAAAAGTTAATCCATCAAAAAACTGAAAAACTCTACCAAAATTGGAATTGTGTGCCGCACATATACCAGCAAAATTGTAGAATCTAGTTACTGCGACCATAGCGACGAAAACTGATGTCTTAGCTTGGAGTGATTCAACAATTGCGTTAAGTTTGATAAAAAGTTTGAGAAATAAAGACAATAAAACAAGTAATTGGCATTAACGACTGCATGGATACTCATTGGGTCAAAGGAAAATTCTGCTGCTTTAGGAACGAGAGATATGCAATTAGACAAGCTTGGAAAGTCTGAACTTTGGTGGAAAGGACCGAAATGGCTTAAAAAGAAAAGAAAGACTGGCCCTTGGAAGAGGAGGAGACAGTACTACAAAATTTAAGCATGGTAAAACAGGAAAACGTTCTGCATGATATGAAAAATTAATTCAGCAACATGGGAAAATTGATTAAAGTAATGGCTTATGTACTGAGATTCTTAGATCGATGTAAAAAGAAATCTTGTTAGGATCAAATAATTTATCACTAGAAGAATTGGAACGAGTGGAAATAAAAAATTTTAAGCTACATCAGCTTAAAGAATTTCCAGAAGAAGTCGAAAAATTGAAAGGAAAAAAGGAGATAGACTCCAAGAGTAAATAAGCACCCTTACATCCATTTTTAGATAATAATGAAATTTTAAGAGTCGTAGGCAGACTGCAATTTTCGGAGCTAATTTTTATCCAATTATAATAAACAATTCAATGTTGTGGATAATGTGTTTAAAAAATATAATACAATTAAAACCGTCGTGCATCATTGTGTACGGTGTACCAGATTTCGACAGCAATGTGCACTGCAATTAATGGGGCAGATTCCGGATCAAAGAGCTACTACATCACAACCATTTACGCATTCACGAGTAGACTACGCCGGACCTATTAATATGATAGTTTCAAATGGAAGAGGACAAAAATCGTAAAAACGATACATCGCCGTTTTTGTATGTATGAGTACAAAAGCCGTTCACTTAGAAGCAGTAAGTGATCTTACTAATGAAGCTTTTATGGCAGCCCTAAAACGATACGTAGCAAGAAAAGGACGATGCAGACTATATATTCTGACAATGGTACTAACTTTGTTAAAAAAAATTAAATATTGTCCTTATAGAAACAATTAAATGAAAGTGTATAAATCCGACCCTAGCATACAATGGCAATTTATACCCCCGGCAAGTCCTCACTTTGGAGGAATTTCGGTAAAACATCATTTAAAACGAGTCATAGGAGACAGCACAATTACTTAGGAAGAAATGAGCACATTATTAGCAGAAATTGAAGACATTGAATTCCAGGCCGTTGTATTCGATTGATGACGAAAATAATCTTGAAGAGATTTTGACAACAGCGCATTTTCTAATTGTAAGACTAACACTTGATATACCAGAAGAGATGCCGGGCATCTTAATTTTGTCCTGCCGTTTATTACGTATCGTTTCCGGGTGGAAGTCGGAAACGTGACTTCTGGGAGGAACTCACTGATATGGGCCGGAATTACGCAAACCGTGACGGGCTCAGTGATCACGACCTGTCTTGGGTGCGTATTCCAAAACCGCACCGGGCGTCGGTGATCCTCTCCAGGTCGTAGAGCTGACTTAAAGTCGAACTCTTACGGATCCACCACCGCTACCAAGACATTCTACCAGAACACTTACCCGGATATTCCTCCTGGGTGATGTTTCCTCGAAGCTCGTCGGAACGCAAGTGCCTGGTCTGGGGCTATGGCTCCGCCTATATAGGCGACGGTTAGTGTGATCAGATCGGACGATGACGATAATCACGCTTTGGGTAATCGAGTTATTGGGCGATGATTATCGGCGATCAATAACTTCATCGAATAAGTGTGACCGGGTGCTGTTGGCTTTAATCGCGCGTTTGAATAATGTCGTTGTACTTAGTTTTATTAGTTGTTGTGACGGTGGGCCAGTCACTTTGAATGGGCCCTCGTATTTCGGTGCTAACTTGGCTGCAAACCCAATAGCTGCCTTTGATAATGGATGTTGTCGTTCCCATACGAGATCTCCTACTTTGGGTCTCCAGCCTCTTTTCCGTAGGTTGTACTTTCTGGCTTGATCTTGTGCTGCTTTTTTCATGTTCCGATGTACCAACTTGCTTGTTTCTTTTATGCGATGCAACCGTGCTTCGATCCTTTACTATTCCAAATCCGTAAATCCGTTGTAACGTACACACTTAGACGGTGTACGATACAATGGTTGATAGTATGAAAGGTTATAGGTGTAAGCGACTTATCATGAATAATAAATATTAAGTTAGTAGTATGTAAGATTATAGTTGTAAGCGACGTGTTATGGATAATAAATATTAAGTTGTAACCGAATAGTAAGTCATAGTTAAGTTCAAAACCCGAGTGGCAATGCTAGCCTATATTTAGCGAGTTAATAGAAAATACTAGAAAGTAAGGAATATACCAGGATTCCCGAACGCAAGAAAAAGGGAGCGTGGGGAAGGTGGTCGTACAATGATCGAGTTGGCGGTCTCTTGTGTCGGAATAGTAAGACGGGACAGACGTGTCTCCGGCAGTAATTTTTCGTGTAATCCGAAGTAACACAACACGGTCGCGCGACGGCACGCGGAAAGTGAATAAGTAGGCTGATCAGCGTTCCGAGGTTAGTGTACATAATATTCCGCTCCGTTAAGGAAAGACGGTATTAGATAAATAAAACAATCTAGCAAAAAATAAAGAAAAAAAGTGAAAGTGAAAACCCTCATTTGTGATTTTTATTCGTAGTCTATCAGTAGCTTCTTTCCTCGTAGTGCATGCGATCTGTACGCGGACACCCGACACGTCTGGTCAAGTACCCTAGCTTCCCCCCTCGTAGTATATGTGACCTGTACGCGGACACCCAACCCGTCTGGCCAAGTACCCAATCTTCCCCCCTCGTAGTATTTGTGACCTGTACGCGGACACCCGGCCCGTCTGGTTTAGAATCCTAGCTTCCCTCCTCGTAGTATTTGTGACCTGTACGCGGACACCCGTCCCGTCTGGTCTAGTACCCCAGTTTCCCTCGTCGTAGTGCATGCGACCGGTACGCGGACACCCGGCCCGTCTGGTCTCCGACACACGGAAAACGACTTGTGCGCCCCAATCACGGAAGGGACCAGTGACATCACCCAACGTTTCCACTCTCGTGAAATCGTTTGCCTGGCTTGGCCTCGCCCCAACGTCCAGCCCGTTTGATTCTTAACTCCGGAGCAAGATACGACGCGATCAACTCCGACATCACTCTCTCTCCCGGCGTCCATGAGAACCTTTGGCGTGACCCCCCAAACGACTCTTCCACTTTCACTTTCAAACTTTATCTATCGCGGGATCTAATTATTCCGTTTGCCGACTCAAAGTATCGACGTGGGGTCTAAAGTTCAAAACTAAACGGGATTTAACGGCAGTTGCTTGGGTACAAATTTCCATCATTTTGGCGTTGCATCATTATGGCTCTAAGCACGTGAGAGCTCGCATCTTAAGGACAGGCGGGCTTGACAAGGCTTTCTTTAAACTAGTAAAATCTTATTTTTCCAGTTGTTTCTTCGGAAACGGTCCTCTATTTTTAAGCAAATCAGATTACGGCTTAGCAAAACTTACGAAAGTATGAAAACAGACCTAAACTAGAATGGAGGTACTTGTAGTTAAGGGGTGTAGGGTATTTACGAATGGCTTGTATGTGTGCTTCGTTTGTAGGTACAAATGATAGTACAGACATTGTATCCTAAATAGTCAACGTAGTTCTTTAGAAATTTAATTTTCTTGTAGTTGATTTCAAGATTTGAAAAGTAAAACAAGGTGCCGCTAGAATAATGTCATCTTTATATATAATCATAAGCCTCACGTTTACGTATAGTTTCATGGAGTACGTTGGAAATAAATCGCTGAAACACAGCAGGCCCATTTTTCAGACCCATTGGCATACGCAGGTACTCGAAGAGCCCGTCAGGCGTAATAAATGTGGTGTATTTTACTGACTCAGCTTCCATACCGATTTGATGAAATACACTTTTCAGTCGACAACTGAAAATACTTTTTACCTTCAAGATAGACGGTCTTCGATTAGTGGGGACGGAAAGTTATTACTAACTGTCATTCTTTTACCCCTCCATATTCGATGCAGATTCTGATTTCCCAATTCTTTTTCTTGACAAGAACTATGTTACAGGCTAACAACTCGGCAACGGTTGTATCACCAATGCCTCTCTCTAAGTATGACAATCTTCTCGGCCTATTATGAAAGGGTTCTGTACCGGTTAACTGTATGCATTAGGTATCTTATCCAAGTATTGAGGCTGATAGATATCACTGCATGTCTCAGCTGAAGAAAAATCGCTGCCTATATTCACATAATCAAGGTCAGTAGCCATAGATCCACAAATCCTGTTCATCTCAGAAAGCCATTCAGCCAGGGATTAATCAGGAACCAAGGGTGCATTCGGGCTTACAGAACCCGAATTAAGCTTTAGGGCTTGCGTTTTATCTAAGGGTAACTTTTTATTCATATTAATTAGCAAGGATGTACAGAATGATTCATTAACAAAAGCAATACGATTTTTTACAGAAATTATACGTTCCATTCACGTTTTCAATTATTTCTTTTCAAAAAAGTAAATTATTGAGTAATTGAACAGGGCTCTACCAAGTAGGAGCGCTGTAGGCGAGATAAGATTGGGATTGTCATAAACTCCTAATTCATAATACTTATCCTCGAACAAAATTGAACACGATGTTTTTCCATGCATAGGTATTGATGATCCACCAATTCCACGAAAAGGACTTCTTCTTAATTGATGATTTGTATTTAGGTACGGGACTTTCCAATGAACTTGTTGGGCTTCCGGTATCTAAAAAAGGAAATACATCTTTAATAGCGGTGCATCCAGCTGAAATACTTGTTCTTAAACTTACTAACTGAATAAACTGCTTGACATCGATGCTCTCTTCAGCTTCTGGCAAGGTTAATCCCACGGTGCGTTTGGGACACTTCGAAACAGATGAAATATCCATTATTTGGTCTTTTCGTCTTCATTTAGCAAACATTATTTATCCAAAAGCTGTGGATATCTGAAGTTGGATGGGATGAATTTCTGGATGAAAAAGTTGCTTGTGAATGGATAAATTTGAATTCAAAATTAAAAGCAATAGAGAACGTTAGGATTCCACGACGAACTAGGAGGATCGGAAAATGAACCTATAGAAATACATGGGTTTGCAGAAGCGTCGTTTGCCTCATAAGTATATGGGAATACATCAAGTGGGATTACCATAGTAGCACAAAAAAGCAAAACAAAAGTTAATCCATCAAAAAACTGAAAAACTCTACCAAAATTGGAATTGTGTGCCGCACATATACCAGCAAAATTGTAGAATCTAGTTACTGCGACCATAGCGACGAAAGCTGATGTCTTAGCTTGGAGTGATTCAATAATTGCGTTAAGTTTGATAAAAAGTTTGAGAAATAAAGACAATAAAACAAGTAATTGGCATTAACGACTGCATGGATACTCATTGGGTCAAAGGAAAATCCTGCTGCTTTAGGAACGAGAGATATGCAATTAGACAAGCTTGGAAAGTCTGAACTTTGGTGGAAAGGACCGAAATGGCTTAAAAAGAAAAGAAAGACTGGTCCTTGGAAGAGGAGGAGACAGTACTACAAAATTTAAGCATGGTAAAACAGGAAAACGTTCTGCATGATATGAAAAATTAATTCAGCAACATGGGAAAATTGATTAAAGTAATGGCTTATGTACTGAGAATCTTAGATCGATGTAAAAAGAAATCTTGTTAGGATCAAATAATTTATCACTAGAAGAATTGGAACGAGTGGAAATAAAAAATTTTAAGCTACATCAGCTTAAAGAATTTCCAGAAGAAGTCGAAAAATTGAAAGGAAAAAGGAGATAGACTCCAAGAGTAAATAAGCACCCTTACATGAAATTTTAAGAGTCGGAGGCAGACTACAATTTTCGGAGCTAAATTTTGTAACGTACACACTTAGGTGTACGATACAATTGTTGAAGAATAATATGTAAGGTTATAGGTATAAGCGACTGACCGTGAATATTAAATATTAAGTTAGTAGTATGTAAGTTATAGTTATATATAGTGACACATAATGAATAATAAATTTTAAGTTGAAATTGAATAGTAAGCTAAGTTCCGAACCCGAGTGGCAACGCCAGCAGATTTTTAGTGGGTAAGGAAAAATATTAGAAATTAAGAAATATACTAGAAATCCCGAAAGCGGGAAAAGGAGAGCGTGGGGAAGGTGGTCTCACACCGATCGAGCAGGCGGTCTCTCGTGCCGGAAAAGTAGAACGGAGCGGACGCGCCTCCCTTAACTCGCTTGCCGGATAATTCGAGTTACGCCTCGACCGCGCGAAGGCACGCGGTTAGTGAAGAAGTGGACTAGTGAGTGTTTTTGAGGTTAGTGTATGCAAAATTCCTATCCGTCAAGCAAAGACGGTGTAGCGGACTCGTAGGAAGACAGTAGATAAATAAAAAGATAATAATAATAATAATAAAATAGAATAATAAAACAAAGTAAATGATTGAATTCCATGATCGTGATTCTTTTTATTTATAGTAGCCTAGCTCCCTTCCTCGTAGTGCATGTGGCCTGTACGTGGACATCCGTCCCGTCCGGTCTAGTACCCTGACCTCCCCCCTCGTAGTGCATGGGGCCTGTACGTGGACATCCGTCCCGTCCGGTCTAGTATCCTAACCTCACTCCCCGTAGTATTTGGGACCTGTACGTGGACACCCGGCCCGTCTGGTCCAGTATCTTGGTTCCCCACATCGTAGCATTTGAGACCCGACGTGGACACCCATCCCGTTCGGTCTAGTACCTTAGATTCCCCTCCTCGTAGTGCATGTGACCTGTACGTGGACACCCGGCCCGTCTGGTCTAGTACCCTAGCTTTCCTCCTCGTAGCGCATGCGACCGACACGCGGACACCCGGCCCGTCTGGTCTAGTACCCTAGTTTTCCTCCTCGTAGCGCATGCGACCGGCACGTGGACACCCGGCCCGTCTGGTCTAGTACAATAGCTTTTCTCTTCGTAGTGCATGTGACCTGCGCGCGGACATCATTCCCGACTGGTCAATCGTACCGCCATCCTTTCTCCTCCAATCCCCCCTCGTGTCCGACAAATCCTATCCGGCTTGGCCTCGCCCCAAGGTCCAGCCCGGTGAAATTTTGGCCTACGGCACGTGGAAAGTGACTTACGTGTCCCAATCGCGGAAGTGATCAGCGGGACTATCCGGCGTCCCCATACTCGCGAAAACTGTTTGCCTGGCTTGGCCTCGCCCCAAGGTCCAGCCCGTGGAATTTTTAACCCAGGAGCAAGGTACGGCGCGACCAACTCCGACACCAACTCTCTCTCTCCCGGCGTCTATGAGAACCTTCGGTGTGACTCCCCAAACGACTCATTCACTCGTTGAATGATACTCTCTAGTCCGGTGTTTCGGTGATTTACAAATTTCTTGTAAAGGACTCCTGGATCTGACTGAGATCTGTACCCCGGCCAGAGAGCATCCTTACAAGTGGCGCCCGAGCAGGGACACCGAGACTAGCTAGAGGATCACCCAAGTGGCTTAAAGACCCACTGAAGAAAAGGAAGGGTAGAGTCACCCGAACCGATCTCCGGAAGGATCTAGAAGACTTGAGAAGGAAGTTCACACCAAACTAAATCGAAGAGGATAACCAATGATGAGTAACCCTAAGGAATCTGACGGTGAGTACGAAGAAGCCGATTTTGTTAAGAATCCAGGTATTGGAGTCCGCTGGATATACGCTCGCCGAAAAGACGAACTCAGCGCTCTCGCCCTGGAGTTTGGTTTTAAAACCGACGGAACCGTCGAGGAGACCAGGAAGGCATTCGCCAACCTCGTCAACACAGGGTCGTTCCCACAAAGTGTGTGGGACCGACTGGCTCAGTTGCAGGAGCAATATAGTAGCCGGGCCCCAAGTCCGAACCCTCCAAGCAGGAACGGTGAGACGGGACAGTTCGCAGAATCCCTCACCATTCCCATGACGTCTGGAGCTACATCGATCGGGACTCCAGCCCGCCATCGGAGGATCCACCCAGGATCGACGCACTACAAGCACAAGACACACGGAGCAGCACGGCTCCAACTCAACATCTGCTCCCCGAGAAGATGCACAAATGGAATTTACGGTTCGATGGGAGTTCAGATCCGTTGACTCTCATCGCCGCGCTCGAGGAAAAGATGACGACTTACAGGATAAATCCAGAGGAGGTACCCCGCGTTATGTCCGAGATCTTGGAGGGCCCAGCGGCACGATGGTTTCGCACGAGCCACCTACAGTCGGCCTCATGGGGAACTTTCAGGAGGGAATTCCTCGACTTCTTCCTACCACCTCGATATTTCGAGCGGTTGGAAGATGAGATACGGACCCACGTTCAGCGGAGAGGAGAGCCTTTCAAGACCTACTTGATCGAGCTCAGAACCAAGATGCAGCAAGCCGGTTATCGAGAAGAGGAAGAATTGTACCGGGCGTATGAAAACATGGCTCCAGAATACCGACTGTATATTAAACGCAGTGAATTCGCGACTTTGACACAGTTGACCCACATGGCCACAGAATATGAGAGTGTCAAACAACTCGAGACGACTCGACGCGAGCCAAAAGCAACCATGGACAGGAAGCAAGAAGAACCTCAACTTCGCCGATCGCCGAACCCATTCCGGAATCCGGTGATTTTAACGCAGACAGGACACGTGACCCACCAGATGATCGGTCAAGGAACTTCTCGAGTGGACATACGACGGGCTTGTAATCGCTGTGGAGAGAACGGACATCTCCAAAGGAACTGCCCCAATCCACGTCGGGATTTCTGTTGGGACTGTGGGCGACCAGGAGTTTTAACGATAGAATGTTGCCGTCGAAATGTGTCGGGAAACGGAGAACGCCTCCGCCGGAACCCGGGTGCGGCGGAGACGAACGGAGCAGCAACCCGACCCCAGTAAAACCCCCGTTGAGATTACACGGCGGGCTCATCACAGCAGCGATAGAAGTCGGAGGACAACGTGTGGACGCCACCATTGATACAGGGGCATCGAGGAGTTTCGTCAGTGAAAGTTTTACTCGACTGGCCGCGAGTGCAGACGAGTTACAGGATGTTGTCACTAGAATAGCGTTGGCCGATCGGTCATGTCTGGATGTGACAAAACTCTGGCGAACCTCGGTTACGTTGGCCGGCACTACGGTGCTCTTACCCATGTTAGTAATGCCCACCATGTTAGATCGTATAATACTTGGAATGGACTTCCTCAAAGTAGCGGGAACACAGGTGCGATGTGGTCGAGCTACCCTCGACTTGCAAAATGAAGCCCAAGCGGCTTGAGACCATTTTTTACAGCCAGAACTGCCAGGCCAGAAGAAGCAGAGATACCCAGTCCTATTCCCACGCGAACTATAACCCCGAACATCAATGCCGGTGCGCCCATTAGGATGGGGACGGTAGAAGACGAAGAACAGCGACAGAGCACATTATTGAGTCCGGCGCAACAAAGCTTCATCGATCGGGAACTGGCCTTATTCGAGAAACTGCACGGGGTGTCTCACGTCGCCGAGCACACCATCGTCATGCGCGACGACAAGCCCGTAAAACAAAGATATTATCCCCGGAACCCCGCGTTGCAACATGTCATCGATGCCCAAGTAGACGAACTGCTCCGTGACGGGGCCATCGAACCCTCCAGAAGCCCACACAGCGCTCCCATCGTATTGGTCAAGAAGAAAACTGGCGATTGGCGCATGTGTATAGATTACCGTCAGTTAAACGCACACTCAGTGCCCGACGCCTACCCAGTCCCGAGAATCAATCACATTCTGGAGAAATTACGCCACGCCCGATATATCTCCACGTTGGACTTGAAGCATGGCTATTGGCAAATTCCCATGGCTAGGGATAGTCGCCAATATACAGCGTTCACGGTCCCTGGGAGAGGATTGTATCAATGGAAGGTCATGCCCTTCGGGTTGCATTCTGCCAGCGCCACGTTTCAACGCGCTCTGGATAGTGTAATCGGCGTGGAAATGGAACCGGTCGCCTTCGCTTACCTAGACGATA